TGTCGTCTTGTGGAAGGCAAATGTACGCTCTTGGACCATAGTTTTCTTTGAGAAGTTAAAGTAGATAATTTTTTAACTTTTCATTTTAAAATAATTTTAGATGCACTAAAAAGTTGCAAAAAGAGTTCAATGAGCTCTCGAATACTCTTTACTCCTCTTCCCCTAAGGTCAACGTTACATAACTATGGAATATCCATCGCAGCCGGGAAATTGACATGGATACGAACTATGGATCAGCCCATAGACCTTATTCAGATTTTGCCAGTTATCCCACGAATGCCCTTTTTCTGACCCAATCCAGGATCCTAAATTGCACTGAATTCTCATGTCTCCTTGGTGTCCTCCGATCTGTTTCACTTCCTCAGCCTTTGTGACCCAACACTGCTGAAGAGCACTGGTCGGATATTTATAGAAAATCACTCAATTTGCATCTGTCTGATGATTTCTCACGATTTGATTAAGGTTATACTCTCTTCCCCTTTCTCGGCGCATCCTATCAGGAGGTACATGACGTCACCGTGTCTTAATTAGTGATGTTAACTTTGGTCGCTTGGTTGAAGTGGTGTCTGCCAGATTCTCCACTATGAAGTTACCATTTCTCCATTTGTAATTAATGTTTCCTGTTCTCATCGTACTTTCAACTACTGATCTTAAGTTAGATCATTTTTAAGTCCCTTTTATCTCTAAAAATCTGTGACTCTTTTGATGTATTAAATTTTCTACTTTTATCTTGATCATTAAAAGCCAAAAAATTAAGCCCCTGAATTTTCTAGAAACAGCTTAATATTCTATGCAGTATTAAACAAAACGACACTGAATTAAATGGCTTTTAAGAAGATAAAAGTTTGCCATTTCCGCTTGATAAATGCTACGTAGGCTTTATTGTGACCCTTTTCTGCTGTAACTCTCTCAATTAACTTCTTCCTATGAACATAATCTGTGCGTCCAGAGCTGCCTGTTAGTAATAATCAAATCATGTTACCCGTAGGAGCTGTTCAGGATGAAAAAGGTGGTGGAAACCACAAGCCACTTAACACACATCCGCTTCCATCCATCTGTCCTCATGGTGCGGGTTTGTGGAGCTCTTGTCTTGTGCTCCCCTCATCGCTGTAGAGTGTTCGAATTGGGCCTCAGGCTCTGTGCAAAGAACTGACTTTGGAATGGAACCAGACATGAATTGCTCACGTGGTTTGTGCGTGGAGGATCCCTTCCTCTGTCCTCCTCCTCAGTCCCGATTGTCAAGCTCCGTAGCGTCCGCGTCCTCAGTGACTCTCGTGTTGTTTGTTTCTTTCCAGTCTTACTTCCGTTGCCTTAGTTCAGGTCTCCATCTCTCCTCTGGACTTTGCAGTGGTGTCCCAACTGGTCAAACCACCTACATAAATGTTAACTGCTGTTGCTATCATTTTTATAGAATAAAGTCCAGTCTCCTTAACAGGACTTTCAAGGCTTGTAGGCTTTCTGTATTCTGACCGCACATTGTGTGCGCTAAATTGGTTCATACCATTCACCTGCTGAAAATCTCACAGTGGCTCCCGGTTGATTTGGGAGCTAGTCTGTAGGGGTAGGAACTGCGTCTTGTTTATTGTTGAATCCTCCTATTCCTGAAGGCTTAGCACAGTAATTAGCACCTAACAGGCACTCAGTGACTATTTATTGAGTTGAAATTAATGGAATTAGCCAATATCCTATGATTCCTATGGCACAGAAGTGATTTTTTATGTGAGAAATAGGCTTATTTCATTAGGCCTTATTAGGAAAAATCCATTTTAGTTTTCTATTATAAAGCAGAATAACTAGAAAATCAGCATTTGAACATTTTCTACCGTGTACAATTTTACTGTGGAAATTTCCTTTCAGAATATTTTGCAACACTTCTCACATCTATAAAGAGTCCACATCCTGGAAAACCGTTTTATTAACAGCATCTTAGGAACAGAAGTTGAACCAG